TAGACAGTGTCAACCAGCCTTTTCCCGACTTCCTCTTCGGCCTTGTACCACAAAAAACATGTATCCACGTTTTAAATAAACATTCCCATCAGATTGAAACCCACATAGATTGTGTTAATCAAATATATTTATTTGGCTCATATTTATTTATATTTAAAAAGACCTGTTGCAATTAGTGTGTTTGTAAAATAAAACATCAACACCCTTAAGATAATATATAATTAGGATAAATATTACAGACTGACATTGATAGGATGTACAACTTATATATATATATATATATATATATATATATATATATATATATATATATATATATATATATATATATATATATATATATATATATATATATATATATATATATATATATATATATGTTTACCAGGTTGTGAACGGAAGGAATGATTCCGAGGGGGATATAAGAGGGATAATAATATACAGTGTTCAATGTAGGCTACAGAGCATTATAATGATAATAAGAAGACGTAGATTTTAATTATCCATTTCGATTATAATTTATTTCATGAACATCGAGGTGTTCAATTCTTCAAATCGAAAATCTCCTCCGTAATTATATATATATATATATATATATATATATATAGAGAGAGAGAGAGAGAGAGAGAGAAAAAGAAAGAAAGAGATTAGTATAGATAGAAAAAAAGGAAGGAACTTAGATAGATCGATAGAGAGATGAATAGACCGAAAGAGGTATGGAAGTAGAAGTGTTTATATCTACATACTATTAGCTTCATGTGAAGACAGGTTTTCCGTTAAATTGAAATCTTCGCTATTTGCCTTCGCAGGTGTGGAAGGATTCACGGTTTTAAAATTCAGAAGATAAATACCAAAAAAAAAAAAAAAAAAATAAAATAAAAATAAATAAATAAATCTCTCAGGAAAAACAAATATTTCGAAGACGTAATATACTTTCCCCAACATCTCACAAAAGATCAACTCCGACGGTAGAAACCTGAGAAGAAACCACATCGGCAGAAGAAAAGGTATCTCTCAACATGTAACCTATACTGCTCATCTAAGATTAACACACGCACGCGCGCGTACACACGCACGCAGACACACATATATATATATCACTCCAATATCAGCGTTCAAATAATGAAATATTCTAATATATTTCATAAGAATTTTTATACTTTTTATTTTATTATTTAATGTATATATATATATATTTATTAAAGACATTTTATGTTTAACGTTGTTATTTTATAGATACAAGTATTTAAGCAAATGCTCTGTTTATGATAAACAGTATTAAATAACATTTACCGGCCTGAATGTCCGAGAAATTTTCATAGAAAATATTCGTTCATTGACAGGATTCGAACCTGCATCCTATACGGAACCGTCATTTACGCTGACGTGCCTTACCTCTGGGCCACAATGAACCTTATTGTAGACAAGGTCGAATTTACTGTTTATAAACTACAATCTTCCATGAATCTCGTACATTCATAACTGCTCTGGCGTATCGAATGTAAACAAATGACGTCATATGTTAAGAAATGGACAAGGTCCGACAATTTATTTATTAAAGACATTTTATGTTTAACGTTGTTATTTTATAGATACAAGTATTTAAGCAAATGCTCTGTTTATGATAAACAGTATTAAATAACATTTACCGGCCTGAATGTAAATGTTATTTAATACTGTTTATCATAAACAGAGCATTTGCTTAAATACTTGTATCTATAAAATTTCAAACTTTGTACCAAAGAATTATAAAATAAGGTTCTTTGTTCTTGTTTATTAAATCAGAACGTCTGTTCTTAATGGGGTGATCCATTTCAGTTTCAAAGTTCAAAAGAATTGTACTTTATTTTTCGATTTCTTTCGACAGCTTCTGGGTTGGGTTTATACTATTGATCGCTATGCCGAAATGCAATTATAATTTTTATTTTATTTCTTATACTTAAAAATTTTGTGATGCCAACGAACACTCTTTTGACACTTTTGTGATGTCAACGAATATTCGTTGTCACTTTTGTTATGTTCGTTGTAGTAGAGACTTTGTAATCACAGATACAACTATAGTAACTCTGTTGAACAATCCAAATGTAAACAACATTTACTTAAATATTTGCATCTATAAAAAGAATGTATAAACATAAAAATGTCTTTAAAATAATTGTCAGACTTTGTCCATTTCGTAATGTGTGACGTCATTTGTTTATATTTGGATACGCCATGAGCAGACATGAATGTACGTGAGAGAACCATGGAAGATTGAAGTTTAAAGGCAGTAAATTCGACTGTGCTACCCGAACGATTCTCTGTGGTTCGATCGGTTAAGAGCACGGCAGGCTAAATGACAGTTCCGTATAGGATGCAGGTTCGAATCCTGTCGGAAGAACGAATATTTTTTATGATACTTTCTCGGACATTCAGGCCGGTAAATGTTGTTTATTATAAAACAGAGCATTTACTTAAATATTTCTATCTATAAAAAGAATGTATAAACATAAAAAATGTC